GGTATAGAGGTCGTAGGGGTTAAAGCTAGTCCTATAAATAGCTCCCTTAGTATAGCGAGAACCTCGTCCTTCTTACTAGCCGTCGCGCTTTTAATTGCTTCTAGGATAGCTACGATACTTCTTATCCGTCTAAAGAGGGGCGGAGTACCTCCTTAAGGAGGTAGCACCCTCTTTAGAGAGATATCTATTAGATCTATTAGTTAATAGCTTATACTATTATAAAGTAAGTAAAGGTATATATATAGGTACCGTTTATAAGATAATATTAATAAGCTATATAGAGCTCTTTTATATATAGCTAGCTTATATATATATATATAAGATCCGGCCCTTTATATATAACTATATAGCTTAGGCTATAGCCTAAGCCTATAACCTATAATAGTTAAAGACTTTTATAAGAAGGGTTAGTTAAGCTTTTAAGTAAAAGATTTATATAGCTTAGTACTTAAAGAAGCTCGCTATATACTATAATTATATATAAAGAGAAGTTATATTATAATAAAGACCTTATTAATATCTCGCTTATATATACTTAACCGCTTAATAACTATAGCGCTATTCTTATAAAAGAAGCTTTAAATAAAGTTATATACCTTATTATAGGTTTTAAAGCCTAGGGAAGGCGGTAAGGGTAGGATCGTATCTTTATATTCTTAGTAAGTATCGCGGGCATTATAAGTATTATCTAATATATTAAGGAAGGAAAGAAAGAGGTATATTATAGCGCTAGTAATAGCTTTAAATTTAGTATATATATATAGGTTATATATATAGGTTATATATATAGGTTATATATATATATAGGCGGGCGTAAGCGTAAGTATAAGTATTTAAGTAGTATAGGTACTTACTAAGCACGCGTATTATAAATAAGTAGGGTAGGCTAGCTTTAATATATATCTTAAAAATAAGTTAAGTATATAAATAATAATATACTATTATATAAATAGTAATACTCTTATAAATAGCTAATATAAGCTAAACCCGCTATAAGATAAAGTATTACTATTTATATACTTAACTTATTTTTAAGATATATACTAAAGCTAGCCTACTTTACTTATTTATACTACGCGTACTCAGCAAGTACTTATACCGCTTAAATACTTATACCCGCGCCTACGCCTACCTATATATATATATAACCTATATATATATAAGAGGTAATAAAGGCTATATAATATATACCTCTTAATTTACTTAAATAATATATTTTTAGGCCTTAAGCTTAAAGTTATAATAACCGGCCTATTAATTAATCCGGCTCCTTCTTAGCCCTTATAGCTATATAGGCGGTAGCGGTATCGCCGCTTTAATTATATCCTACTTAACGATCCCTTAACGCTTAACAAAGCTAGCTACCCTTACGAAGCTAGCGGCGCGCCCCTCTTACTATATCCTCCTCTTAATCCCCTTCCCTTTTATTAAAAGGTATAAGCAATAAGTATAGGATCGGGTAATTAATAATATAAGCGGAAGGATAAGTTAAAGGAGTATAGGGTAGGATTTTGTCCGGAGTTTATAACGAGTATATAAGGGGCTAAATAATATATTAAAAGAATAGCGTTATAAAAGATACTTACGAACTTACTTATTTTATTTACTACTCTTAGGGAAATCCTTTATCTTTTATAGACTATTACTCGCCTACTAGTAGACTAATTAGTTAGCTTTCTAGTATATTCTATAGTACTTAAAAAGCTCTATCTATAGTATGTCTCCTTAACTTATTAGGTAGTCTAATTATAACGTAATAGTTAACGTAAGACTATAGGTTCTAGTATAAGTAGTAGATTTAACTAGAATATTCTATGCCCTACCTATTCCTATATCGCGGATATCTTTAGAACCGCTAGGCTAAAATAGGCAATAGGGTATCCGTTCTACTCGTAATTAACTTATGTATTTTATATATATTTTATTTTATTAGGATAGGCCTATCTTAACCCGCGTTTCCTAAAGGAAGGTATAGATGTCTAGTAGAGGTCTTTTATCTTTAAAGGTTATTCCCTTAAACTATATTATAGAGCCTCTTTTTACTAGCTTATTTTATAAAGCTTCCCTATACTTATTATTTCTTTATAATAGTAAAATAGGAATATAAGGGTATATTCTTATACCTTTATATTTCCTTAAGCTAATAATCCTTATTATAACGCTATAAGAGACCGCGGGCTATAGCTAAGTTTATTAATCTCGTTATGCCCTTAGCGCCTTTAAACGCTTATATTAAGCCGCTTTAAGCTAACTTAACTTAAATTAGGTAGCTAGGATACCCTTATAGCCGGCTATAACTATAATACCGTTTATAATACTATTTATAATACTAGCTATAATGCCCTTATTATAAGAGAGCTTAGTATAAGTAGCTTATTATTATAGGGCCGGCCGCGTATAATAGTAATAATATTAAGGTCGCGGATTTATAGTAATAGCTCCTTAAAGTCCTAATAGTAGTAATTAGTATTAAATTTACCTAAAAAAAGGGGGGGGTTCTTTACTAACGGCTTCTTAAGCTACTATTATAAGAGAATATTATACTTTTTAAGTATTAACCTAGCTTAAAGGCGTTAAAGGATCGTATATATATAAGGCAGCCTAAGTTAGTATATAAATTAACGGCTATAAGGCTATAATAGCTATAGCTCTTATATTAGGAAAAGTATCGCGGTAAGGGCAAGCTTATATTATATAGTAAGTAGGTTAACTACTTTATAAGTAATTTTTATACTAAGATCCTTAAGCTAAGTCTACTTAAGGAACTAACGCTTTTATTATATCTCTTACTAAGTAGCTATTTATATATATATTATCTCTTTATTCTTAATTACTTATATAAGGGTATTATAAAGATATAAAAAGTTAGAGGTACTTATAACTAAATAAGACTCTATATCCTTATAAGCGGTCTTAACTAAGCTATTTACCTACTACCTAAAGTTATAATATTAGCTAATAAAGTAGCTTACTTAATACTTACGCTATAATATATATTCGTTTAAGATATATATTATAATATACCCTTAGTATTAACTAAAGATCTTATTAAGCTACCGCTATACTAGATAGAAATCCGCTTTAGTTTTTAAGTAAATAACCGCGCTTCTAAGTTAAGAATATTCCTTTATAACTAAATTCGACTTCCTTATTATCTAAACTAAATATAATAGTAGCGGCGGCGTTAGCGGCTCTTTATTTAATAGCCTCTTAAGCGAGGATAGCTTTTACTTCTTAAGGGATCTTTATATTAATAGAGTTTTTAGGGCTATTAAGATCTACTAAGTCTTTTTAGTAGGACTAGATTTAAGCCCGAATATTACTATTAACGTAGAATATATAGAGTTATTATTATATTAAAGGGAGAATATAAAGGAGGGCGTTTTTAAGGTTAGCATCTTTATCTATAATAGCTATAGAGGGCTCTTATACCCTAACCTATATATAAAGAGCGTTAAGGGACTTATATAGCTACTAATATCCTTCTTCTTTCTCTAAGTTAATAAGGCTAAAAGTAAAGTTAGCTAAGGACTTTTAGTTAATAACTTTAGTAACCTAAAAAAGAAAGAGACTAAAGCGGTTAGTTTTATATATATTATTAAGGCTAAGAACCTTAAGGAAACGTTTTAATATCTTTTAATACTATAAATAGGTCTATAATACGCCTTAAATCTTATTTTTATTATATAGGTCGAATTTAATATAATAAGGAAGATCGCTTACTTAAAGACATTATAAAAACGCTTATATTACTATTATACTACTAAGAGCTTTAAAAGGGGTCTTTTAGTAGTTATTATAAATATCTTTAATATAAAAGAACGCTATTAAAGGTTTAGCTTTACGTAAGATATTTAATATCTCTTAAGCTAGTAGTGCTTTATATTAAGAGAGGTTCTACTTAAGAGCTTACTATATATTAATCCGCTAGTAATAAATATTATATATAGAGGGATTAAAGGAAGGCCTATAATTATAGCGATCCTTAATAATATAAAAATCCTACTTCTAAGCTTCCTTATTATATAATACTATTATAATAAGGTAAAAGGGGCAATTAAGCTTTTAAGTAAAAGATTTATATAGCTTAATACTTAAATAAGCTCGCCGCGGGCTATAATTATATATAAAAAGGAGTTATATTATAATAAAGACCTTATTAATATCTCGCTTATATATACTTAACCGCTTAATAACTATAGCGCTATTCTCGCGAAGGAAGCCTTAGACGAAGTTATATACCTTATCGTAGGTTTCGAAGCCTAGGGAAGGCGGTAAGGGCGGGATCGTATCTTTATATTCTTAGCATCGCGGGCATCGTAGGCATTATCTAACGTATTAAGGAGGGAGAGAAGGGGGTCTATCGTAGCGCTAGTGATAGCTTTAAATTTAGTATATATATATAGGTTATATATATAGGTTGTGTATACGGGTTGTGTGTGTGTGCGGGCGGGCGCAGGCGCGGGGGCGAGCATTTAGGCGGTGTGGGTACTTGCCAGGCGCGCGCGGTATAAATAGGCGGGGCGGGCTGGCTTTAGTACGTATCTTAAAAATGGGTCGAGTGTGCAAACAGCAATATGCTATTGTGTAAATAGCAATACTCCTAGGATATAGCATCGCCCAGCGGCTGTCATGGGCGTTGGGCCGCTCCACGACCCGCGTCGAGGACCAGGCCTACTCCCTGCCGGGACTCTTTCACATGTCCATGCCGCTCATCTACGCCGAGGGCTCCGAGGCGTTCGCGCGCCTGCTCGAGGATATTATGCGCAAGTACACATACCATAGTGTTCTCGCCTTGCCGCTGCGCTGCGTTGACTCCCTGCCGCGCTCCACTAAGGAGTTTTGCAAGTCGCAGCTGGTCGCGACGGGCGAGTCAGCGCAGCTCAACAAGCACTAGAAGCCTACGGTCCGCTCGTACCTCTTCCAGGTGGCCAACTCGGGACGCCTCCTCGGGCACCATCCGCACCACCCACTCGCTCTCGCGCATTTGAATCCTGCCAATGCGCAAGGGGACCGAAGGCATCCGCCAGTCTACGCGGCTCCTTTGGCCATCGCCTCTTCTTGCCGTTGGTCTCGTGACAGACCAGGAGTTTCACGCGGAGCGCAGACCACCGTACGACTACGGACCCGACGGCGGCGCGGGTTGCCAGAGCCGCGCGATGCTGGTGGCTGTTGGGCATGGCGTTGGATCCGAAGGGCCGGTCGACTTCGTGCCACCCGACATGTGCCAAGACATTCTGATCCAGAAGCCCTACGCGACTATCCTCTCGGTTCTAAAGCGGAAGCCCACTGAGGCGCTCCGCGAGGCGGGCAGTCCGTTCTTGCTCTGCTTCCCGCGAGGTGTCTCCGAGAACCGGCTTTACGGCGTGTTCCCGCGGTCCGACGCCGCCGACAACCAACTCCGCGCGCAGCTCTCGTTGGGTCTGCCGCTCATCCAGTCACGCCCATCGAAGCAGGTCGACGGCCGAGGCCGTCTCACCTCGACGGCAAGCGACGGCGCGTCAGCGGATCACGACATCTATGGCGCTGTGGTTGTCTTCAAGAAGCGGCGGTCTTTGCCTCCTCGCTTCTTTGCCGTCTGCTTGGCGCACGTTCCGCGCACAGATAAGAACGGAGCCGTGGCCTACGAGCCCGGCTGCAAGGTCATCCACGGCTGGACTCCTAGGTCGTTCAAAGCCCGCGGCCACGCGGCCGCAGGCGTAAGGCCGCACGACCTTGGGCAGACCGATGCCGACGCCGACGTTCTCGTCACGGTGCAAAGGCGCTCTGTCCGAGCAGCGGGACGGCAAAGGGCATGGTACACCGTTTCGTCAGGCCTCACCCAGGTCGTCTTCGATCGCCGGGAGCTGGCTAAGCAGGCGAGGTTGAGCTCGCCCAACGCCTCTGCCGCGCCCGGCACGCTGGCATTTATGGGCAAGGCGTGTTCCGATGATGAGTAACCGGAGACGACATCACGGACAGGCAATTATTCATATGCGATTTGCCGGCGGCTAGAAGCGTTGGCACACGAACGTTGGCGCCGCGGTTATGACGAGAGGCATCACTTGCATCCATGTGCGGCTACTTTTAATAAGCTTATTCGGGACCAAGTATCAATGAGTTTTCGGGATAGACCAATAATGCACCTACTCGCTGCTGTTGTCGATGCTTTAGTTGAGCGCGAGCGGGAGAACGGCATAAGCATTATAATTGACCTCTTTTACCGCATTCACCCGGTAGGTATCTAGTGACTTGAGTTCTTCCTAACGAGCCGACCCGAGCTGCCAGTCAGTCTCGACGTGCTTCTAGGCCATCGAAAGCGCATGCAAGAACCTAATACTTTACGGGATAACTAAGACAGTCATTTAAAAAGAATATAACAGTCTTTTCAATATGCGGGTTTGCGAAGGTCCGAGATAGGTTTAACGTGTTAGTTCCTTATGACCGCTAACTAATTACCATAAGACTGGCCTGGCCAGTTTCACACTGTCTTACATAGATAGCCAGCACGCTGTTTACCTTCGCCGCCACGATCGGTCGTTTCGTCGCCGATCTCCAAGTTAGATGGCTGAATACGCAGCTTAACGAGATTCTGCGTATTTAAATATTTTGCGGGAAGGGTAGCGTGTTGGCTTATACACCACGACGCTAAGCATTGTAAATTATACTTTTTCCCGGAGTTATTAAGTCTACTTAAGCGTTGTCGTTAGTTTTCTCCTTCTGTAAATGGGTAGGATTATGATATATGGAGGAACCTGCGTTCTTTGTTATAGTCTTAAGAGTCCGTTATCCTTCGCACTAGGATCTTTAAGCAATATTCAGCTAAGACAGCGAATTACTTTAAAAAAACACCCTAGTACCATTAGCCTCCTTAGGTAGAGCTTAGTGCCATAGGCCGGCGTTGCGGTAAGAGTTCTTATACTTATATTTATTTCGTCAGAAGATAACTGGGGATAAGCCGGCCGAGATTAGGTAGAGCATTAAGGGATGGGACTAGTGACGACGAGTAACGACTCGAGAAGCCCTCGCTCCTTACTCCGTTGAGTTTAGGCTTCTTCTTAGTCTAAACTTAAGGCCGTGCGTGTGGCCATTCTTCAAAGTGCTTTGGCCGTGCTTTAACAACGCTCTGAGGACTTTAGAGTTGAGAGTCCGTTCCAGGTCGAGCCTGCTTATTAAGGGCTACGTGGACACGCCCAGTATGTATATCCGTATGGCTTTAAACTTTCCAAATTGCCGTTTGGGGAGAAATTCAGCTTTGGTGGCTTGGGCATTATAGAGAGAAGATCTGAAAAACCGCCAAGGCTCGGAAATTTGGATCTGTGCACGCGTTTCAACACATCTGTATTAGGGGCACATCGGCTGTTATATCATAGCGGACGTAGGAGCGCGAAGCATAACGAACTGGTTATATTAAATGTTCTCCACCCGTCGATCGCCTCCGCCGATCGGCTGAAGAACGCGTGGTCATATGGCAAGATGGGAATCTACGTTAGGGGGACTATTATGGGCCGTGATTTCTTAAGGCTTTAGCCAGGGATATTTAAGAAGGCATGCCCTTCTAGATTCCGGTATTCAATTGCTCGTCTTTATTTAATTACCAGACGCAGCTTAACATAAACACTTCCTTTCTAGTTTGTCGACAACTCACTTTCTTATCAAAATATACTAAAACACTTTTCTCCTGCATCTCAATTACCTTACCATAGCTTCCCTCAAGTCGTATTTTATTCTATTATGAAGTTTACAAGCGCTACTACTGCTCTCTCGGCTTGTCTTGCGGCCGCCGCCCCTGTTCTGGTTCCTCAGGGCGGGAATGGTAAGTAAATGCTAGCTTCTACTTCTATCCCTCCTTTTCCCATTTTTCGAAACATTTCGCCAGTTTTAATGCTTTTACAGCCGTGAAGGCAGGCACAGGTATCGCAAGCGATGTGCTAGGTGCTGTCGCCGAGGGCACAAGTTTTATACCTATTGCCGGGCCCCTTGTTAGTGGTATCTTAAATGCGGTTGGAGATGGCGTCGCAGGCATCGGACAAGGAGTAGCAGGGGGCGCTCGGAGTGACAGAGTAGCAGGGTATTAAGCAGAGGCTTAAGAGTGTTGCAAACAGAGGGCAGGACCGACGCCAGGGGTGCGCAGCCAATTCACTGCGCAAACCCTGGGCGCAGCTCTAGCCCTCATTTACAGGGGTCAGCCACACAGGCTATAAGACCAGACCCCTTAGCTAAGGGCGGCCTATATATATAGCTTCCTTTTTATAGCATCTTTATATCTTTTAGAGCTCCTTTCTATAAGTTATAATAGCCCTTTAACGCCTACCTCTATAATAAGAACACGGCTATTAAAGTAAAGCTATCGTATGTCCTAAAGAATAGGAAGGGAGCGGCGGCCTCGGAATTAAGACTATCGAGGCCTATAAATTATACTAAAAGCCGGTTTAGCTTAGTATTATAAGATATATACTAGGCTATAAGTATAATATTAAGTAGCTAAAGGAAGCGGCTAGCGATCCCGGATTAAGCGGAACGTAATAATAGCGTCTATAGCCCTAAGATAGCGAGATATAGGCATAGATAAGCTTAAGGGTTAAGAGAATTATAACTTATAGTCTATAGAACTTATCGTAGCCCTAAGAGTAGACCGTCTTAAGGGCTATATCGATAGAACTATAGCTTAGCCGACCGTAGGTACCCCCGCTTATAATTAATAGGATATAAACGATAAAGCCGCGAAGTATAATATTATTATCGCGAAGCGTAGCTTAATTTCGTAGTTCTTAGAGATATCCCTTAGTAAGAGGGACTAAGGAAGCTAAAAACACCCGGTATAGAAAAAGGAAGAAGGAGCTAAAAAGAGGTATAGAAAGGAGGGTAGGGGTATAAGGGGAAGTAGAAGTAGCGATAGCTTCCTATATAGGTAGCGAGGGATAAGACGGATATACCGGCAACGGCTAGAAAGGAGGGGAAAACCTAGTAAAAAGCTCGGTAGTTAAGAGGATATTAGTAGCTTCTTTATATAGGATCTTCTTTATTAATTAAGATACTTAATAGGTATAAGGAGGGGCGTTAGATAAAGGAAAGAAGGAGAATAAAGGTAATATAATAATTACTCCCTTACTATAATTACTGCCCCTATAAGATTTAAATATCTCCGCCCTACCTATCTAACCCCTTACTTTTAATTTTACCTTTATATATTTTATATATACTTCTTATATCTCCCCTCGCAAGAGTTATAAGCCTAGGAGGAATAGAATTCCTATACCTTCCGGCTACTATAAAAAGCCCCTTTTACCCCTCTTACTAAAAAAGCCGATTTTTAACCGACTTTTCTACCCTTCCCTTATAATAATATCGAAAAACGACTCTACTACCCTTATAGTCTATAAGACGATTCTTATAAAGCCTTAAGATTAAGATAAGTAGGTAAAAGAGCTATAGGCTCGTATAGATAGAACTATCTATAATTTAGTCTTCTTTAATAAGTAGGACCCTCTCGAGCCCCCTCTTTATCCTCGGGCAACGGAATTTATAAAGGGAGCTTCCCTCTTCTCTAAGCTAACCTCTATATAGTAGAGAGCTTTTTCTACTACCTTAGGTAACTACGAGAGTTACTATAAGGAATACCTTTATAAGACGAAGCTACTAACTACTACTTATATAGTAATAATAGAATCCGTTAGTACTATAAAACTAATTACTCTTTAAGAAGAGACTTTTAGGTAGTAGCTTTTAAAGCTCGAGACCTCGATAGCTCCCTTAAGGGGCTATATAACTAACCGTATTAAGAAGACCTATATAGTATACCTAAGAGCCTTTTTTACTAGGAACCTACTAGCTTCTTTATAGCTAGCTAAGTAAGAAGAAATCCTTAAGGAAGCTAACTAATACTTCCTAATAAAAGCTCTTTCTAGCTAGTAGCTATAGGATATATCTCTATTAATAAAGCCTATTAGTAACGGTTACTTAACTATCTTTTAAGAAGCTAGCTAAGAACTAAATAAAGAGGCTACTAAAGAATAATAATAAGTAGTCTTATTCCTTTATAGCTAGTACTCGACCTAGACGGTTTAACCTACTACCTTAGTAGCTGCTATAGCCCCCCCTACTATAGCCTCTGCTACTACTACTACTACTGCCCTAGCTCCGCCTCTTACTCCGGGCCCGGCCCTAGTCCCGTTAGTTAGACCGGCCCGACTAGTCCCTTAATAGACCTTTTAGTCTATTAGTTAAAAAATTAAGGAACTAGTTAAAATCGAACCTCTTTATTAAAATTAGTAATAAGGAGTAAAAAGGGGGGGTTTTTAAGTAAACCTTTTAGACCGGGACGAGGATTCCTTAAAAAAATAAATAAGGAGGAATCGACCTACCTACTAAGTATATAAAAGGCCCTATTAGCTAAAAGACTACTAGTAGGTCTTTAAGGAAATTCGACCGTCTAAAATTATACTTCTTAAAGGACTAAAAGACGTTATTAAAAAGTCTCTTAAGGAGGACCCCTTATTATAAAAGAAGATAAACGAGATTTAGGTTACTAAGAAATAGTAACTATTAAGGGCCGGCGTATACTTAGTATAGTAGTATAGGGCTAAATAATTATTTATTTAAAGCTAAGGAGAAAGGAGGAAAACTCTATCCTAGTCGCGACGGTTATCTATCTTCCCTAGTCCTTAGCTCGACCCGTATTTAGGTGCTATTCGGCCTAAGTTTAGGTCGAGCTCTGCCTATACGTAGGTCTACTTTAGCCTAACTTTAGCGCGGTCGCTATAGTATAACCTTAGCCTTCTATAGGCGTAGCCTATAATATTACCCCCGCTCTCCCCCTCTTATCGGTAGTACTCCCGTTCCTCTCTTACCGCCTTTCCGTTATCGCTATCCTTTTTTTCTTAGCGCGCGCGGTCGCTTCCTTTCGCCTTACGCTCGCCCTATCCCTCTACGCCCTACCCTTTCGTATGCCTATTCCGCC